GGCCTTAGAAATTAAAGTGCTATACGAGTCTGCCTCAATTTACAAAATAGTTGGATCAGAAAGGTTGTATGCAAATTGAATAGAAAATGAGGTTCAAATAACCAGAATGCCTTTTTTTTTTTTTTTTTTTTTGAGATGGGGTCTCGCTCTGTCACCCAGGCTGGAGTGCAGTGGCTCTATCTCAGCTCACTGCAAGCTCCCACCTCCTGGGTTCAAGCGATTCTCCTGCTTCAGCCTCCAGAGTAGCTGGGAATATAGGCGTGTGCCACCACACCCAGCTAATTTTTGTATTTTTAGTAGAGACGGGGTTTCACCATATTGGCCAGGCTGGTCTCCAACTCCTGACCTCAGGTGATCCACCTGCCTTGACCTCCCAAAGTGCTGGGACTATAGGCATGAGCCACCGGGCCTGACCCAGAATGCCTCTTACATTTTGCAGTCAGGCCGGGTGCGGTGACTCACACCTGTAATCCCAGTACTTTGGGAGGCTGAAGCAAGAGGATCACTTGAGCCCAGGAGTTCAAAACCAGCCTGGGCAATGTGGCAAAACCCCATCTCTACAGAAAATTAGCTGAGTTTGGTGGTGCATACCTGTAGTCCCAGCTACTGGGGAAGCTGAGGTGAGAGAATCATCTGAGCCCAGGATGTTGAGGCTGCAGTGGGCCGAGATCAAATCACCATACTCCACCAGCCTGGGCAACAGAGACTGTCTCAAAAATAATAATTTTACAGTCAATCTTTTAAAGCAGGTAGTTTCATCCAGTATTTTTAAAAATCTAAAAAGCAAAAAAGGGATCTTAAGAAAACATCTAGTCCAAGTTGCTTATTTTATAGATGAGGAAATAGAACCCTGGAGAGGGACAGTGACTTAGCCTTTGTGTTTCCTATCAATTCAATCCTATTCAAACCACATTCCCATCCAGAAAAGTGCTTATGAATTTCAATTTCAAATTAAGTACAAATTTGGAGATCCTTTGGTCAATAAATTGGTTATCTAGCCAGAGCCTTTCTGAAATCAAAAATATGCTAACAGGATATTTGTTTCTGGATGTTTGCTTAAAGTGCTCTTGCAGCAGTGGGGCTTCTATTTCACAATAGTGAGCCTTTATCTTTTGATTAAAAATTAACAGGAAAAATATTCTTGGATTTTCCATTGTAAGATAAATTCTTACCCTGGAGTTGCCTTTATTAATCATAATATCAAGACTGATTTGTCTTTGAAGGCCTATGTGTCAGGACAATGCCTCATCTAGGAGGTAAAATGTGATGTTACAGACGTTTAGTAGTCCACATAGAGCCAAGAGCACTAGGCTTTGGGCTCCTATAAAAGCCCAAGATGGGCAGCCTTAAACTCTGCTTCTTTTCTCTGCCTGTAGCCAGGTCAGCATGGATCCACATCCTTTTTATTTGACAGGGTAATTAGAAGCGTGGGGCCCAAGCTAGAACTGAGACGCTAAAGCCCTGCATAACCAAGAAGCTACTAGGTAGTTTGTAGTTTGGGGCAGAGTTTGTTCTTCCACTAAAATTCTGTCTCCTAAAAACCAAAAATTAGAATTAGGCGAGTTAAGAATGATAAGGAACTTGTTTGCCATATTGGAATTAAAGTGTCCAAAATTACATCGCCACAGAGGTTAGATTTACCTCCCCTTTCACTGCCACCCCCACCCCCAGAAAAGAAGAGGGAAATTCATTTCTGCATTTGAGGGAATCTGGCCTTTGGAGCTTGGTGTGTAGTTGCCATTGCAAACGGGAAAGTGTCAGGATGGTTTTCACGTTTGTTTTTTTAAACAAAGAATGATATTGTTGGCAGAAATGTCACATTTGTTCATTCAGCGAACACCCTGAGTGCCTACTAAGTGCCAGATACTTATTGTTGCTCCTGACAGTGGCCAACACATCTGGATGTGTTATCTTGGAATTATGAACAGATGCTGGGTAGCACAAAGAAGGGGCTGGAAGAGTTAAGAAAACTTCACAGAGAAGGGAACATTTGAGTTAGGGATAGTAAGTTTTTATTAAATGACCATCTAGGCTGTGTCACAAAAGCCAGCTGGACATGCCATCTGCTGCTGGGGTTGGGGGTGCTAATTAATGACAGGCTCCTCCAGTGTATTTTCAAATGAGCTAGAACCGAGCCTGTTGAGGCCAGGTGGCTGTAATTCATCACGATCATTTTCTTTTTCAGTTTAGAAACCTGCTGAAGTGGTATGCTAAGGAGTTCAAAGACCCGCTGTTGCAGGAGCCCCCAGCCTGGTTTAAGTCCTTTCTGTTTTGCGAGCTTGTGTTTCAGCTGCCTTTCTTTCCCATTGCAACGTATGCCTTCCTCAAAGGTTGGTAAATGGTGGGAAAATCCCATTTTTACCCAGAAATCAGGTCCCAGAAATCTTTTGGGGAAGTATCTCCAAAGGGAAGGGGATGGTCCCCATAGTTTGTGGGAGGATGCCGTAGGATCTGGGGGAAATAACCAGGGTAAATCTTGTAAAGGGACATTAGTGTGGCTCAGGTTCATGTCTGTGGTCAGTGGGGCTGCACGGCTGCCTCAGTCTAGAAATCCCTTGCATACACATGAAACCTGAGACCACTTAAACGATGAGCTTGTTCCCTTTTGTTTTGTTCCCCAACAGAATTAATTTCTCTTTTTGTTGGCTTTTATTTCTCTGTGTTGGATAGTATCATACTGACTTATAAGCTGTAGCATCAGGCTAATCCCTAACGTGCTTCTCATTTTAAAATTATTCTTAGTGTTCTTATAATCAATGCTTTTTAAAAAAGGTGACCACACACGTGTACTTGATAACGAAGCTAGAACCGCTGAAAATGCTTGTTTCCCATTGGCATCCCCTGGGGTCACTGAATCTGCCTCCTGATCCTCTCACCTATATATATTTACTGAACAAACAGATGCCATGGGGCAGGGATTTCCCTCCCCTGGAATTTTATCCCACACAGGTTTTAACAGGTAATGGCGGTTTTATTGCCCTAGAGTTTTGCTGAGTTATGTTCTGAGTTATATTCTTGGTTCTTCAGCGAGCTGTCAGCTGTCACATAAATCTGCATGTTGGGCAGTGTGGCACATCCAGGTTTCCAGTTCTGAGTTTCCACTGGGAGAAGGGAGTAGAAGAAAGCAGGCAGGCAGAGACAGTGGGAAGGTCATGGACACCTTTGAGTCATGAACAGACCTAACCATTTTTCTTTTCCCCTGACTACCTCAGGAAGCTGCAAGTGGATTCGAACTCCTGCAATCATCTACTCCGTTCACACCATGACGACCTTAATTCCAATACTCTCCACATTTCTGTTTGAGGATTTCTCCAAAGCCAGTGGTTTCAAGGGGCAAAGACCTGAGACTTTGCATGAACGGTTAACGCTTATATCTGTCTATGCCCCCTACTTACTCATCCCGTTCATACTTTTAATTTTCATGTTGCGGAGCCCCTACTACAAGTATGAGGAGAAAAGAAAAAAAAAATGAAGGAAACAACCACTGGCTCAGGGTAGAGATGCCTACAGGGTGGTTGCTTGTTGGATACAATACAAGGAACACTGCTCAGAATCCACATCTTCAGCAGCATTTGAACCACTGGCAGCAATGCACAAGAGCAAGATGGTGTCAGGAACCACGTCAAACCCTCACCTTTTTTTTTTTTTTTTTAAAAAAAAAAGACAGTCTCACTCTGTTGCCCAGGCTGGAGTAAAGGGCAGTGGCATGATCTCAGCTCACTGCAACTTCTGCCTCCTGGGCTCAAGCTATCTTCCTCAGCCTCCCAAGTAGCTGGAACTGCAGGCGTGTACCAACACGTATGGCTATTTTTTTTTTTTTTTTTTTTTGTGGAGACGGGGTTTTGCCATGTTGCCCAGGTTGGTCTCGAACACCTAGGCTCAAGTGATCGGCCCACCTCAGTCTCCCTGAGTGCTGGGATTACAGACGTCAACCACTGGGCCCAGCCCAAACCTTCACCTTCTAAGGGCTCTGGGATGAACAGACCGATCAGCTTGAGAGTGGGCAAAGGGGTGTGGGCTAGGTTATAAGGAAGTAGTACCAAATACCTGTGTGCCTGAGTTCCACCGCAAGATTACTAAAAGCAGGACCAGACCAGAAACTGCTAAAGAACATGGCCTGTTTGACATGTTCATGAGTCACCTGACCTACAGCATATATGCTTATTATGACTAAACCCTCCACACCTGATTCTCAAGAGTGTTATCACCTGTCAGCAAAATGAACAGTATATTTTGGGCCATTTTAAATGTGAAATTTTGCCTCTTTAATGTTAATTCAAAACTATATCAATGTTTTCTTGTCCCCACCTCTAACCCAAGGAAAAAAGAAAAAATACTATGCAAAGAAGTTTAAACCTAGTTTTCCTTAAGGGTCAGCCCAACAATGACTTTCAGTCAGAAATGGATTAAACTGGAAAATGTTTTTGTTGCTGTTGTAAACAGATCGTCCTGGAAGGTTTTTGTTTGTTTGTTTGTTTTTAAGTTAGTTTATTCTATTTCTAAATCTTAGTCTTCCACATTTCTAGAAGCCACCTGACACAGGTTCCTGTATCTGAAGTCTAGCATCTCAAGGCTGATCTGGAAGTGTGCTAGTATGCTTCCTAGTGGATAACTTAATCCTTTAATACACTTCAGTGGTTCCCATCTTGTTCTCAGAAGGGAAGGTGGCTACAGCCAGGCATAACATCCACTGTGTGCATAGAGGGTCCTTCACGTTGATGCTTGGCATTCCATCAGCTTTCTCTAAGTCTCTGCTCAAGTCCAACCTTAAAATGATGTTAGACAACAGGTCCCAGTCAGTTCCCTCTATTTCCACCCATTTTGCTCACAAGCCATATTGGTCTGATTAGTGGTACTGTCTGACTCACATGTGTGATCCAAATAAAGGTAGCTGCTGACCACTGCCTGGTTTGTTTTGTGGACGGGGGATAGAGAATCCAGGGTTCTCTCACGAGGGGTTAAACATATTTCAAGGGCAACAGGAAAAAAAGGTACATCAAGCCATTTGAAAACAAAAATGTATTCTTCCAAAGCTTTGTGAATTTACAAAAAAAGGATGAAAGTTTACAAACTGCTTAGTTCCAATTAAGCATAAGAAGTGAGAACGTACACTGTAGGGCCACCAGCAGCAGCTGTGCACTGATGTTTAAAACTGGCTCCCCCAGACTTGTAGTGCTGTCTTCAGGGGGCTGCGTTCCTTACACGCCACCTCTTGTGACAGGTCATTGGTCAAGCCGCTGGAATGCTACAGAGGTTTTTTTGGTTTTGAGGGGCTTTTTTTGTTTTGCCTTCCTACTATAAAAGAAATTTTCAGTTCATTTCTGAAAAATAAATTGGTCAATAAATTCATTTTGTTCTGCTTCTACTTTACACAAAGCTTCATATTCAACCCGATACCTGAAAAACAAAATTGTTAGAGGCCCTAAAAAAAAGATGAAGTAAACCACAGACTTAATTCTTCTAGAGAAGGATATAGAGGTTTAAATGATTTCAAGAAATGGTGTGAGTTCAGAATGAAGAAAGAAAGAGGCAAAGCCCTACCCAGAGCCACCCATGAGAAATCTCCAGCCCTAGGAAAGTCTTCTTTCAGAGAGCCAGCCAACTTCGTAGACCCTTTCATGCTCAAACTACTAGAGGTGGTTTGATACTAAGTTTTCTATTTCCTTCCCATCAAATGTAATTTTATTTTTAAAAATCTTCAAATCAGGATGACAAGTGAGATGCTATTCCTGGGAAAACAATGATGAAGAGTAAGGACAAGAAGTGATCACTCCAGAAGGAAGAGTGGAAATTCAGCTGTGTAAAGAACTTGCTTTACATCATGACTTCTTACCTTTCTAGCTGCATTTTCTTTTCTGCTATTAGTGCTTGAAGTTGCTGCTGTTGAGCTTCTCTCTGCTTTGCTATAGATTTGAGCAAGTTCCGAGCACCGATGGCCTACAGTATTGCCAGAGAAGGCCATGGCTTCATTAAAACCGTCTACAGCATCAAGTCCTCAAAGTGGGGAGGGGTCATCTGGGAGCTATGTCAGTCTCCGGAGAGGAAAAGAGAGTGGAGCCCCAAAGCTTTTAGGTTAAGTCAGAAGGATTAACCTACTGATCACAAAGTGCCTCAAGAACTTGACGGCAGCTTTGAGACAGGTCTAGGAGTATTCCTAGAGCCAGGGACACAGACACAATAGCACATTTGGTGGTGCCATTCAGCCTTGTGCCTTTCACCAATCATACTATGTACGCCTTCATTTCTTCATTTATAAAATAAGGATAAAGCCATCTACATCAGTGCTGATATGAAGATGAAAGGAGGCCAGGTGTGGTGGCTCACGCCTGCAATCCCAGCACTTTGGGAGGCCAAGGTAGGCAGATCACTTGAGGTCAGGAGTTTGCCTGACCAACATGGTGAAACCCCGTCTTTACTAAAAATACAAAAAAAAAAATGGCTGGGTGCAGTCGCTCACACCTTAATCCCAGCATTTTGGGAGGCTGAGGCAGGTGGATCACCTAAGGTTGGGAGTTCGAGACCAGCCTGACCAACATGGAGAAACCCTGTCTCTACTAAAAATACAAAATTAGCCAGGCGTGGTGGCGCGTGCCTGTAATCCTAGCTACTTGGGAGGCTGAGGCAGGAGAATCGCTTGAACCCTGGAGGCGGAGGTTGCAGTGAGCCAAGATCGCACCCTTGCACTCCAGCCTGGGCAACGAGAGAAAACTCCATCTCAAAAAAAAAAAATACAAAAAAGTAATCTGGGTGTGTTGGTGCACACCTGTAGTCCCAGCTACTTGGGAGGCTGAGGTGGGAGAATCTCTTGAACCTGAGAGGTGGAGGTTGCAGTGAGCCGAGATTGCGCCACTGCACTCCAGCCTGGGTGACTCTGTCTCCAAAAAAAAAAAAAAGATTAAAGGAAATAAAGACTGGCGTAAGTTCAGTAGGTTAAGTGGACTAGAAGTTATTAAAATCTTTTTTTTTTTTTTTTTTGAGACGGAGTCTCACTCTGTCGCCCAGGCTGGAGTGCAGTGGCCAGATTTTTTTTTTTTTTTTTTTTGAGACGGAGTCTCACTCTGTCGCCCAGGCTGGAGTGCAGTGGCCAGATCTCAGCTCACTGCAAGCTCCGCCTCCCAGGTTTACGCCATTCTCCTGCCTCAGCCTCCCGAGTAGCTGGGACTACAGGCGCCTGCCACCTCGCCCGGCTAGTTTTTTGTATTTTTTAGTAGAGACGGGGTTTCACCATGTTAGCCAGGATGGTCTCGATCTCCTGACCTCGTGATCCGCCCGTCTCGGCCTCCCAAAGTGCTGGGATTACAGGCTTGAGCCACCGCGCCCGGCCTTAAAATCTTAAATGAAAACTCACCCACCCACCCCTCTAAACAAATCAAGAGGGAAGAAAGATGAGAGGGTAGTAAACTAGGGTCCCAGGCCAAGACGTAGGCAGAAGACATGCTGATCTTACCTTCATCTTTTCATTTTCTGCTTCTTTTGCAAGTTGATCAACAAGCTCAATTAAACCACCAACTATTTTCTGAAACTGGCCAATTTCTTTCAGAAAAAGAACAAAAAATAAAATATTTCCTCAGTCTCATCACTGCCCTTCGGTAGAGTGCTGAGGCAGTGCGAGGGCAGAGCTGACTGCCCCTTCTAATTTGTGTCAAAATAGTTTGGTGTGAGCCAGGCATGGTGGCGAGCACCTGTAGTCCCAGCTACTCAGGAGGCTGAGGTGGGAGGATCACTTGAACCCAGGAGTTAGAGGATGTGTGATCATGCCTGTGAACTGCCACTGCATTCCAGCCTGGGGAACATAGCGAGACCCTGTCACTTAAACACTTTGGTGCCTATTGGCCTGTCTCCTACCCTTGGTCTGAACCTAGAGAAGGGTGGCCAGCTGGACCAGGACATACCCGGACCTTGTGTCCCCACTGAGCCAACCAGCTGCTATGATCTCACGCTATGAAAGCACTAGGCCCTTGCTGGGCTCATCCTCCAGACAGACCCCAACCCTGCTTCCCCAGGAATGACAGGAAGCACTGTTGTTCACAAAAGGGCAGCCTCAGGACACAAGCGCTGCCTCTGGACTAGCTACGGGTATGACACCAGATTTCAATTAACAGTGGGGATGGGGGCTTCCCACTTGTAACCACAGAAAATAGAGAGCTCACAGCATTAAGTGCCTAATCTCCTGCTCACTTTCTCCAATGTCCTGGATGTGACGGAAACACAACTTACTGAGGGAAAACTAAGGCCCAGAGAGGTGTGTGCATGGCATATCAGTCACAGAAGGTTAGTGACAGAACCCAAGCTACCTTTCACTAATCAAGCTCTCTCCACAACCTAGGAAGCCCCCAGAAAGCTCAGAAATCCCTTGCTCTAGCTAGATCGGGCTCTGTACTGAATGCATTGGGCTTACTTGGCTGCTGGGACAGGAGGCTTCCTGAAGATTTCTAGCCAAAAGATGACTTCAGTAAGTCTGTTGAGCTGCTTCTAGAAACTTCACTTATCACTTCTAACTCCAAATAACAGAGAACCTGCCACTAAGAAGACTTCCTCTGAAGAAATCAAATCAGGAGTACATAATTCTATTTCTCACCCCCAAGCCATGGTTATGTTCCCAGAAAGTTTAAGGTTTCTAAGAGCAAGAAATGAAAGATGGCATCTCTAAAAACACCCTCCCCATCCCAGTGTTTGGTTTGACTGGTGCTCTGTTGGGGACACATGAGAGCACGAGGGCAGGCAGAGAAGGGTGGCACATGGGAACTCACAGATGCCAGATTCGACCTCCAGGGAGCCAGCAGCTCCACTGTGGCAGGGCCAAGATGAGCCTGGGGTACAGTTGGAATGGCAGCTCAAAGCTGAGTGACACGGTATCTCCCCAATACTCACTGTCCACAAAGTCTTTGCACTCTTCCTTCAGCTCTATGGTCTGCTGGGTAACCTCTGGGTCCAACACCCGCAGCTTGTTCAGTTCATCAAAGTGCAGCCCTGCTTCACCCAGGATGTCCTTGGCCATGGCTGCAAAGAAACCAGCCCAATTCCTCATCACTTCCTAGCCACCCAATGAAATGCCTGCTGCCAAGCCAGCCCTGTTCCTGCCCTTGGACACCAATGCCAAAAACCCAGATGTTCCAAAGGCTCCCCATTCCCTCTGCCACCACCTCTCTGAGCCTCACCTGTTTCCCATCCAGACTTCCTAGAGGAGTTCTGCTCTGAAGGAGTGACAGTGGCAGTCAGGAGGAGGTGTGTCATAGGAGCAAGGGTCAGGAAAGAATAAAGTCCGCTTGCTTGTCACAGGCATCGTTCATTCAACACACATTTCTTGAGTGCCTACTACATGCCAACACTGCTAGATGCTGGGGGTACAAAGATGAATGCAACACGGTGCCCGCCCTGAAGACACATAGTTCAGCTGGAGGAAGACAGACATGGAAACTGAAAAATCACACTGTGTTAAATGCTTGTTTAGAAATATCAGTAAAGAGCCAGAGGAGGACAGAGCCGTTAAAGAAGGAGTGACATCTGAACTAAGTTGTGAGCCATAAGTGTATTTACTTTATGTATCACCAGTTATGTACCCAAAAGCATATGAGAAGGCTTCTCAAATACACATACTGGAACAACACAAAAACCAAATAAAAGAAATCTGGGTGAATTAAAAATTATAGTTAAAAAATACAAAGTCAGGAGTAAGAATATTACTCAAAATGTATGCCTGCCTGAATTGGGAATCAAAGTTGGGTTATTCTCTTTCTAGCAGAAAACACAAAAAGGAATGAAGTATCAGCAAGAACATATCAAGGCAGCAGGCCAGGGATAGGTATTCCAAGCAGAGAAAACAGCATGAAGTCACTGAAAGGACCTACCCCGCCTAAGGATGAAAGGAAAAAGGATGGAGCTGAAAAGGTGAGCTGGAGCCAGACCAGGAAGACCCGTATGCCAAGCTAAAGAGTTACGATTTTTTCTGTAGGCAACAGAGAACTAACAAAGATATCTTCTCCCTTTCCAAGCCACCTTGCATTTCTGTTCCAAAGGATGCCTCAATTCTGGGAAAGAAATACTGAAAACTCACCCTCGTTCTAGCTCAAACACACACACACGCACACACACACACACAAAATTAAAAATAGACATCATATGACCTGTTTAAAAAGGGAGGCAATGCTAGTTACATCTAGCAATTAGCTGCTATGCCAATTCTAAAACCCAGGTGCTCCAAAGTCTACCATCACTTGGACCTGCACCAGCCCCTTCCCTCTACCCCCACTGCCCCCAGCCTCAGCTGTTTCCCTCGTGGCTTCCTTAGAGAAGTCCTGTTCTGAATGGGGTGATTCTGGGGGTGGCTGTCTAGGGCAGGTGTGCCACAAGAGGAGCAATGGTTCGAAAATAATCAAGTCTCACTGTTTCCAGAACTTCTGGGTCTTTTGTTGTTGTCGTTGTTGTTTTGAGAAGGAGTCTTACTCCATTGTCCAGGCTGGAGTGCAGTGGCATGATCTCGGCTCACTACAACCTCCACCTCCTGGGTTCAAGCAATTCTCCTGCCTCAGCCTCCTGAGTAGCTGGGATTATAGGCGCCTGACACCTTGCCCAGCTAATTTTTGTATTTTTAGTAGAGACGGGGTTTCACCATGTTGGCCATGGCTGGTCTTAAACTCCTGACCTCGTGATCCACCCACCTCAGCCTCCCAAAGTGCTGGGATTACAGGCATGAGCCACCGCACCCGGCCAGAACTTCTGGTTTTTAAGAGGACCAGAAATCCAATATCTCAATGTTGGTATGTAATTCAAAACTTTTAAGTAAGGGGGAGAACCCACATCCAACACTGCATGGGCCAACTAATACGTGTCTATGAGCTGTCTGTAGAGGACTCTAGCCTTTGGCCTCACTGGAATCCACTGATGTAAGTGAGCTAGCATCATCCTTTTGAAGCACTGTGTTCATCTGTAGCTTCCTTAAAATAGGGCTTTTTAAAAAGATCTGGCCAGTGCAGTAGCTCATGCCTATAATCCCAGCACTTTGGGAGGCTGAGGTGGGAGGATCACTTGGGCATAGGAGTTCGAAACCTATGGCAATGTGGCAAAATACCGTCTCTACAAAAAATTTTTAAGATAGCCAGGGCTGGTGACATGCGCCTGTAATCCCAGCTACCTGGGAAGGTGAGCTGGGAAGATCGCTTGAGCCCAGGAGGTGGAGGCTGCAGTGAGCTGTGTTCACACCACTGTACTCCGGCCTGGGCAACACAGTGAGACCCTGTCTCAAAAAAAAAAAAAAAAAAAAGGCTTTCGCAGCTACAGGTCATTAATCTGACCAGCTGCTCCAGAAAGATTCGAGCAACATGAGGGAGCAAATATCTGCTTCAACTTCCACTCCCTTCCCTGAGAGCACGCATTTATCCAGAAACATCCACTGAGTCCCTGCTCTGGGGACAGGCTAGTGAAAACAATGCCTCTGGACAGATGGTAAACAAATAATCACAAATCGTGGTATTAGTATAAGGAAAAGTACATGGTGCTATGTGAAGTGCGGCAGGACACAGTTCATGGCTGGCGGAATGGAGGGGAGTGCCTACAGAGGCCTTCTGAAAAAATGACACTTAAACAGACCTAAAGACTGTCCAAAAGTTTGTCAAGTCAAAGGGAAGCAAGGCATTGCAGGCAGAAGGAAACACATACGCGAAGATCCTGAGGCAACAGGAAATTTGATGCATTCCGAGAACTGAGACTGAGCAAGAGAAGGGAACAGAATGAGGCTAGACACGGAGGCAACAGCTGGATCACGGAAGGCTCTGAAAGACGCAGTAATGAGCTTGGATTTTATCAGAAGGGTAATGGGCAGCCAGAGAGTTCTCAGCAAACCAACAAAATCAGACTTAGATCATTCTTGCTTAGCCTGGAGAACGGATTGGAGGGAACAAGAAAGGGCAAGGCCCCAACTACCTTCTTGTTCACCACTCTAACCCTAACACCTAGCATGGTGCCCACACATAACTGGCACTCAGTAAATGTTTGCGGAATGAATGACCGTGGAAACAGGAGACCATTACAGTAACCAAGGCTGGCAGCTGAAGACAAGTGTTCCGAGTTGAGATGTTTTGTAAGTCGAGGTGATTGGGGCTTAGTAATGGACTGACTGAATGTGGGGGTTTTGGAATAAGAGAAAAACAAGTCAGGCATGACTCCCATGAATCTGGCTTGGCCCACCTATCTGATTGGAGGGGCTGGCTTAAAGAGATAGGTAAGATGGAAGAAGGGGTGCAGGGAAAGAGTTCACAGATTCTCTACCAACTCCCATCACACGCGTGTCTGAGCATCTGAGCAACACCTGGCCCAAGAGCTGGGACTAAGCTCCCTGAGCATGACGCGGTGGCATAATTTGTGCGCCCAGGCTCTCCCAGATGCATGCGAGGCACTGCGAGCCGACTCTTTACTATGTAAATTCCCCGAATTTATCTGAGCCCCAGTTTCCTCGTAAGATCGTGGCAAGCATTAACGCGTCAAACTCCAGGCCTAACCTGGGTGTGAAAGCGCCCCCTGAGAGTGGGGCGGAATTCCCACGTCTCTCTCCGCCCGGGCTCTTTCCTCAGGACGCGGGCCTGTCAGGCTCCTCTCGCCCTTGGTCCGCCCGCATCCCCCGACCCGAGGTCAGCCTACCTGCTGGCCCCGCGGCGGCAGCGTGCTGCAGCCTAGGCTGATGTAGACAGACAGCTTCTCCCGGGTCAGCGGCAGCGGGTACCCAGTCAGCCTGCCACGGCCGCTGCCACGGCTACAGAACCTGTTTACCCATGACGTCACTACCTTCCTGACCCCGGAAGCACTTACAGCCCCGAATCCACAGAGGTTGCTGGGAAACAGAGGCCCGAGGGGAGGTCGGGCCTACAAGACCCAGAAGCCTTAGCACCGGCAAGGCGGCCGGAAGTGGCTTTCCTCTCTCCGCGAAGACCCTCGGGGGATTCCGCCTCCACCCTTTCCCGGATAGAGCGCTATGCATGCAGGGACTTGTAGTCTCAGGCTCCCCGACCGGCGGGGCTGGGCCGCACTTCGGGCGGAGTCGGCGAGCGCAGGATGTGAGCTCACAGCCTGGGACTGCTGGTGGGCAGGCGGCTGCAGGCTAGGGGCGGCTCGGAGTCCACTGGCCACCCAGCTGAGAGGAGAGGCGCCCCCGGGGACGGTGAGAGCCGGGCCCGCAGATGCCCTCGGGGAAGGGATGGACGGCCCCTGCTGGTGTATAGCGAGCCCGGCCGGGTCCTGGGGAAAAGGCGCGGGCGGCGTTGGGGAAAAGGAGAGCTCTGATCTCCCACGGAGGGTGGGCGTGAGAATCGGTGTGGGTTTCTCGGTAGTGAGGAGTGGCCCGGGCTAGAGAAGAGCCCACACCGGCCACATTTCCCAGGATTTTTTGGGTGACGCTTAACCTTTACACCTAAGGTTTCTGCTAGATCCGCCCACTCTAGACCTCAGCTTTCCCCGCGCCGTCCTCCGTGTCTGACGGATTTCTGGGTCCTTCTTCCTTTTAGACCTCTCCTCTTTCTACAGCCGCGGCTGTTTGCCCTTTGTTCTGCCTGGGTTCCCATTAGCTTCGTTGCGTGAGCCATGGATCCGCCCCTAGCCCCAGGCATCCCCAAATATCCACACACAAAGTGCGGAAGGAAGAGCACTGTGGCTATCAGTGGAAACTTCATTCTCACTGGAATTACTTTCTGGGGCGTCACCTGCCACAGGATTCCTGGAACCCATTGGTCTGGGCGGAATCTGATTGACGTCATCCAGGGGCTCAAAGCAATTGCTTTGTAGGAAAGGAATAGATTAACTCTGGATCCGCCGACCTCTCTTGGCAGGCCTATCCTTTGAGCTCCTTTGCATTGACAGAACATGTATGTATGCTTTCTTTGATCCTGGGAAAACTAGGGCTAGACACAAAATACATCGGGAACTTGCTAATGCCTGTTAGGGAGGTGGATTTATTCCTTTGAGGTGGGCGGAAGAAGGGAAGGTGATCTCATACCATTCTAGTGTTTCTTAGTCATTGGCAGCCTCCTGGTGAGGGTTCACCTCCCATACCCAACCTCTGTGGCAAAGGAAAGAGTCTCCCAGACAAGCCGCCAAAGGAATTCACTGCTTCACACAGCACCCACGCTGGCCGTCCACTTCCTTGGACATTCTTCCCAGGGACTTACCTAAATCTTTTCAGGGACAATTTCAATCTAACAAACTGACATATGTTAAATACTTAAAATGTGCATGGCATTGTGCTAAGCACCATTAGGGGAACACAGCAGTGAACTTAGGAAACCAGTGCCCTGCTTCTGGGTTGCACTTACAAGAGAGGAGCAACTGTAAACTCCTGCATGTAATGAGCATTCAGTGAAATCATTCCACTTTTTCTGTCTCCGTTATTACCAACGTGGTCCAGGCCCGCCGTCATCTCTTCTTGCCTAGACTACAGTTTCCTCTGGTCTTCCCACTTCCTCTCTTGCATCTTTACAATTCATTCTCTACCCAGCAGCAGTTATCTTTTCAAAATACACTACAAGCAAGTCAGATCATATCACTCCTCTGCCTGCAACTCTCCAATTGATTCGTATATTATATAGCAATAGGCCAGGCGCGGTAGCTCACGCCTATAATCCCAGCACTTTGGGAGGCCAAGGCGGGCGGATCATCCGAGGTCGGGAGTTCAAGACCAGTCTGACTAACATGGAGAAACCCCATGTCTACTAAAAATACAAAATTAGCTGGGCATGGTGGTGCATGCGTGTAATCCCAGCTACTCAGGAAGGCTGAGGCAGGAGAATAGCTTGAACCTGGGAGGCGGAGGTTGCAGTGAGCCGAGATCGTGCCACTGCACTCCAGCCTGGGCAACAAGAGTGAAACTCTGTTTCAAAAAAA